CCTCCTCGTCGTCGTCGTCGTCTTCTGCCTCTTGTGCGCGATCCAGGTGTTTTGCATTTTCTCCGCCCTGTCCGATGAGTATTTGCAGCTGGAATACCCATATTCTCCATGGAGGTGTCTCTGGCTCCCACGGGCTCCAAAGGCGAAAGCAGGCTAAACTTCGTTACCTGGCAGAAAGACATACCGTTTTGCTCCTGCAGGAAACTCACGGGACCCATGGTGATGATGAGACCCTTCGGCGCCTTCTCCTTCAACATCGCTCGTTCACCACCTACTGCTCCAACCCTCAGGCTGGCGGCTGTGCTATTATCGTTCAGAAGTCCTTTTTGCGTCACTTTCAATTTGTGCGACCCCGAGTTCATCAGGCGGGGCGTCTTCACTCGATCATGCTGTCTGGGAGGAAAGGGTGCTTTCAGATATTGAATATTCACCTCGATCCTGAGTTGACGGTTGCTCGGAAAAGGGAGGTAATTGCGTGTGCTGCTCGTGTATTGAAGCCCCCGCGCGAAGCCGTCGCGGTCTTCGGAGGCGATTTCAACTTTTATGCAGCTGGCGAGACCCGGCAGTATTTGGATGGGAGGAGGGCGGCAGGGAATGCGTCTAACAACTATCGATTGGATGATTTTTTCTGCTCCAAGCTGCCGCACTTGGTTGAGGTAGAGCAAGAGTGGCCCACTCACATTCGCAATCGAGATGGATGTCCCGAATCGGTTGGTCGACTCGATCGTATCTATCTGAACCTGTACACCTCCACCCTACTCGACCTCCACCCCACCTCTGGCGTACATGGGAGTGTATTTGGGGCCTCGAACTGTAGCGATCATATCCCTGTCTTTGTTGGGCTGACGCCGAACGCCACCGCTCGACATGGGGTACCCTCCTGGATTGCCAAGCACCCACGGTTTCAGGACTACGTCGAGAGCATTCGGGCTGAGGTCGACTTGTCCGATGACCCGATCTTGAGGCTTCCTGAAATCAAGTCCCTGGCATTTGCGGCCAAGCAGGCTGTCCTGGACGAGTTGGCGGAGGCGGTCCCAGTGCTACCCATTCAAAAGATCTCCTGGATGCTGGCAACCCAGAGGGCCATTACGAGAGGCGACCGTCGAGTCTTGCGCAAAGCTTGCCGTGGCTTCCCAGAGCTGCTCGAGTTTGTAGACATTGATGCAGCCCAGTATATCGACTTTGATAAGTTTCACCAGCTGATGAACCAGCTGAACTCGGAGCACGTGGATGCGATGCAGGGTGAAAACCTTGCCAGCGACGAGGCCCCTAGCAAGAAGCAGGCTCGAGCTGAGGCATTACGCAAACGGCAGGCTGGGTGGTCCCCCAAACATCGTAAGGTTGGCCTGGCACAGATTCGTGATCCTCGTGGGCTCCCCATTGTTGACCCCCGAGAAGGTGCCCGAGCGCTCCGCGATCACTGGCAGCAAGTCTTTGATGAGGTAGAAGTTCTTCCTGAGGCCGTTCGAGCTTATTTACCCTTTGTTCAGAAAACCATCCCGAATCCTGTGGTTAAGATGCCGTATCATGAGTATATTCATCTTTTGGAAAAGCTCAAGGACTCCGCAATGGGCCCCGACGGGCTTCCCTACTCTGTCTGGTTCTGTGGGGGAAGGATCTTTCATGAGGCACTCTACGAGCTGTATGAGGCTCTGCTTGCAGGTGCTAGGCTACCTGACCAGTTTAACCTTGCCCTCAGCGTCTTCCTGCCGAAAGGGACTGAGCGCGAGGACCAGTACGTGATCACTCGCCAGCCGTCCGTCACTCGACCAATAGCCCTCAGCAACACCGACAACAAAATATTAAGTAAAATGATAGGCTGGTACCTTGCCCCGATTGCGTCGGTCACGGTCGACCACAGTCAGAGAGGCTTTGTAGGCGGGCGCCAATTAGCCGAGAACATTATTGAGCTTGAAGCAGTCATGCTCCGCTGGGTTTCAATATACGGCGAGAAGGAAGGCGGCCACGCCTTCTTCGATGTCGCCAGCGCCTTCCCCTCGCTGGCCCACACGTTTATCTTTGCCGTGCTGCGCGAGATGGCTCTTCCACCAGCGATTGTTTGGGCAATCCAAGAGCTCTATCGGGACATCTCGATGATCGTGTCGTTCAGAGGCGTCCAGGAGTTCATGATTCGCTGTGCTCGGGGGGTTAAGCAAGGTTGTCCGCTTTCTGGGCTGATTTGGGCGTTATGCTTCGACCCGATCATTCGCAAAATGAAGTTTGAGCTTTCTGGATTTCAGGTTCGGCTCGGAGTCTTTGCAGATGATCTTGGATTAGCCGCGCGCCACTTCTTCCAGTGCTTCCCTGTAGTGATGAAGGAATTCGCCCTCGTCCTCCAAGCGGCAGGTTTGAAAGTCAACACCCACAAAACCTACATCATTATCTACGCCGACCTCACCAAAGCCCAGGTTCTGGAAAAAATGAATGCTGCTGGAGTGGAGGAGGAGGATTTCAAGATAGTTGCCGCTGCTAGGTACCTGGGGCTGTTCCTTGGTTTCAACAGCGCAGAGGCCTCGTGGGCCCACCCGATTGCTGAATTTCGGAAGAGGATCTACCACGTCAAGAGCTTGAAATTGGGGCTTCTGGCAAGCCTATCGGCCTACAACATGGTTTGTTTCTCCGTATTGAGTTTCGTCGGCCAGTTCCTGCCCCCGCCTCAAGAGGCCCTCAGGACAGTCCGCGAAGGTCTCCAGTCTCTCACGAACGGCCCGAGGCACGCGTTCCCGCCGCTCGTGCTGCAGCATTTAAAGGAGATTGGTGCGCCGGTTGAGCCGCGACACCTCGAGCTTGAATGTCGAGCTGCTGCTTACAGATTGGCAGTTCGCAGTCCACAGGTTTACCTGGAGCGCTTGGCATGGGAGGAAGCCGAGGCCGATGATGAGCGCGTTCTGGCTCCGAAGTACCGGGCCTGGGTAAATCAGTCTATCTTCATGCATCTCTCGAAAGTCCAAGAAGAGTTAGAGGTCGTACACAGGTGCCCATACGACCATGTAGAATCTAACTTGCAGCGGAAAGTCTACAAGCTATTATACTCGCGGTCGCAGATTCCCTCGATGCCCCAGTTGCTACTGCCTAGGCTCCAGCACTTCGACCCCTCAGCCACCATTGCAGATGCCGATCGGATGTTCTTGAATATCAGTACCCTCGCTCGTGACTTGCCCTTCTTCATCACGACTGCTCAGCTCAGAAGTATCTGTAACGGGTGGTGTACTACCCGCAGGTTCAGGCACAATGGGGGAGGGACGGGAAATTGCAGATTTGGATGTATGGCGGTTGGAGGCGATTCTATTCTTCACTATTATGCTTGTCCTGTAGCCGTGAATGCCCTGAAGCAGCTAGTTCCTAGCCTGCCAGCCTGTTTTTCTGATATTCCCCCCCTGCATCGTCTCCTGTTGCACAAAGTCTGTTTCGATAGTCGTCGGCAGTTGCATGCTCTAGGACTCTCTTCTGACCTCCTTCTCACCTCCTTCAATGCCCTGCGCGCGCGGGATCGGATTTCGGCCCCCCAAACCTTTTCCCTAATGGAGGCCAGGTGCAGGGCAGTGGCGAAGACGGACAGCAGCGTCCGCGCCCTCCTGCAGCCACACGGCGAGGCGGGATGACACGCGGCCCCCCCTTGGAGCGTTCCCTCCTCCTCCTCCTCCTCCTCCTCCTCCCTCCATCCTCCATCCTCCATCCTCCATCCTCCATCCTCCATCCTCCATCCCTCCCATCCTCCATCCTCCATCCTCCATCCTCCTCCCTCCTCCCTCCTCCCTCCTCCCCCATCCTCCATCCCCCATCCTCCATCCTCCATCCTCCATCCTCCATCCTACCTCCTCCCTCCTCCCTCCTCCCTCCTCCCTCCTCCCTCCTCCCTCCTCCCTCCTCCTCCTGCCTCCTGCCTCCTCCCTCCTCCTCCTCCTCCTCCTCCTCTTCCTCCTCCTCCTCCTCCTCCTCCTCCTCCTCCTCCATCCGCCTCTCTCTCTTCCTCCCTCCTCCTCCCCCCTCCTCGCTCCTCCTCCCTCCCCCCTTAGGTAGCAAAGCCCAGTCATTCTTTCTCGTCGCCCCCAGACGAGTCGTGCAAGCTCGCGATGGGTTCCGTCGCGATTCTGCAGAATCGGGAAGAGCGCCCCTTCTGACGACCTTCCGTCGGACGGAAGGTCTTCAGCACGTGGTCTCTGCCTGAACAGGGGCCTTCGCGCCCTGGGACTGTCAGAGCACGGGGGGGGGGCGCCGGGCGAAGGCTCCCCAGCGTCTGGGGGAGCCCGCGCCGGACAAACGGCAAGCCGTCCGATGTCAGGGTTTGGGTCGTCGCCCTCCAGGGCGGGGAAGAAGAGGAGGAGCAACAGGGGGTGGGCATCCGAGCGGGTGCCACACAGCAGGGCGAGGAGGATGTCGACGATGAGGAGGAGGAGGAGGAGGAGGAGGAGGAGGAGGAAGAGGAGGGGGAGGAGGTGTCTCATCATGTCGGCATCTTTCTGGAAAGCTTGCAGAAGGAGGAGGAGGAGGAGGAGGAGGAGGAGGAGGAGGACTTTTTAACCAACCTCGCAGCTGGGTGGTGCATACGCAGCCTCGGTGTCGTTGTGCCTAGTGCTAGTGACAGTGTGGAGTGCCTGCCGATGCTGCTTCTCCGAGCCTCCGGGTGACAGGAGGATGAGGACAGGGTGGATGAGGAGTTGGAGGAGATGGGAATGGAGGCCGAGGTGGGGAGGACTGAGGGAGGAGGAGGAGGAGGAGGAGGAGGAGGAGGAGGAGGAGGAGGAGGAGGGGAGGGATGAGGGTTACCGAGGCGGGGGAACATGTCCAATTGCAGTCCAAGCCTCTGACCGCGGGCGGCCTGGCGGTGGAGGCGGCGACGATCCACAGGCTGCTTTCCATATCCGGCCTCTGCCTCAGAGGGCCACGGTCTCCGCTCCTCCTCCTCCTCCTCCTCCTCCTCCTCCTCCTCCTCCTGTCGGTCGGTCGGTCGGTCCCCAGGCGGAAGAGTCTCGATGCCTACACGGAATCGGGAACGAGAGATGCGGGGCGAGGGAGCAGGAGTAGAGGCAGCAGCAGGTCCGGAGAGCAAGCTGCAGCCGCGCCTCGGGGGCGCTTCGGCCAGCGGCCGTGCATAAGCCTGGACTGCTTCCGTTGATGCTGGTGCACACGGGAAAGGACACAGGCCAGGAACATGGGGGTGGCGGAAAAGATGGGCCTTCATCCGAGCTGGTGCGGGTTTTGTCCAAGGCCCGCTCCGCTGCTCCGCGGAGAACACCCCCCCCAGGTGATCGCCTCGGCGGCGCGGGACTCCGCCGCGCTGTTCGACGCGCTGCAGAGGCCAGGGAGGGGGGGGTCGGCCTCCCTCGGAGGGGGCTCGCTCTCGTTCTGCAGCGGGGGGCTCTCTTTCGTTCTTCAGCGGGGGGCGCGAACTACACAACACACGCACACACAAGCATCGACACACAAGCACCCACGCGTGCACGCGAACGCACGCTCGCACGCTTTGGCGCCGCGGCCACAGGCGCGGCGGCGCTGCGTAGAGCAGGTCAGGCGAGCACGCCGGGCGGCACAGTTCACGCGGCGCCGCACGGTGACACACGTACACACAAACTCTTACACAAGCTCTCGCTCCTTCTCTCTCTCTCTCTCTTTCTCTCACACGCGGACGCACACACACACACACACGCACGCACACACACACACACGGACGCACACACACACACACACACACACGCGCACACACACACATACACACACACACGCACACACACACACGCACACACACACAACACACGCACACACACACACACACGCACGCGTGCGCGCGCACGCACGCACGCACGCACGCACGCACGCACGCACGCACGCACGCACGTACGCACGCACGCACGCGCGCACACAGACGGACCCACGCGGACCATCACACACGCACGCACCTCGATCTTGAACAGGTCCATCCTGGGCCCAGGATCGGTGTGCATGCCTTCCCGGCCACGCCAGGAGCGCGTGTGACACCGATCCTTGGCCGATGATGGGTGTGGCCAGGGTCGGCGTATGTCCGGGACCCGCGCATCTACATCACCACCGCGGGCGGGTTTTGTGTCATAGGGGGGTGATCGGATGATTGTCTTGGCGGTGGGCTGCAGGGTGCGATCTCGCGGCAATGGCACGTCGCGTGTGTAGCGTCATTTGGGCACCCGGCGGCATGCGCAAAACGCATTACACTCACGTGATATATAACCTCAGGAAGCGATTAAGGATCCCCCCGTAGCACCGCCCCGTAAATAAATAATTATTCTGGGGGGTTTTCGCCGAACGATATAATTAGCACCGCGCACTTGGAAGGAAAGTAAATAATTCCTGCGTCCCGCCTCGGATGGCATCCCAATTGGAATTGAAATCAGAATAAGAATACGAATGAAAATGCGAATAAGAACAATAATAAGAATAAGGCGAGTGTCACAGGTACTGCTGACACCGTAACTGTTACTGCTACTGTGATGACGATGAAACCTGACGGCGTGATGCTTGTGTTACTGCTACCGTGATGCTACTGTTACCGTGATGCTACCGTGATGCTACCGTGATGCTACCGTGATGCTACCGTGATGCCGAGTCTGCCAAGCATTTGATATTTCATCTTCTTGCTCACGTGCTCGAACGTCAGAAATGCTTTCGGCTTAGGCAACGTCTCATTCACCTCAACGACCGCGCTGACTTGGACGCGCCTGTTAGTCATCTGATCGTCTAAGATGCTGATCTCCTGATCCTCCTGGTGAGCGTACATGCAGTGGCCCACTTTCTCGAAGAGAGCCTCACCGCCGACGTACTCACGATCAACCCTGAACACTTTCTTGAGGTACTGATCCTCATGGAATCGAGCTACTCCGAACAAAGCAGCGACCCTCGCAGACTACGAATGAGGATACGACTAAAACGAACGAAGATACGAACGAAGACTAAGAAGAAATGTGAGGATGTCTCCGGGGATTTGCCCAATTCTATTAAGACATGTGAGGATGTCTCCAGCGATTTGGCCAATTCTAATAAGAAATGTGAGGGTGCTCAGGCGATTTGGACAATTCTGTTAAGCAATGTGAGGATGTCTCAAGCGATTTGGCTAATTCTAATAAGGAATGTGAGGATGTATCAGGCGATTTGTGCCATTTTACTGAGATGTGTGAGGATGTTTCAAGCGATTTCTTTTTCTTCCTTCTCTACTCTTTGTTCTGATCCGCTTTTTTGTCCGATGAGGTTTCTATTGCAAATCCTTTAGAAAATGCGTTTTTTTCGGCCGTCGTAGGGGGTGGTCCACCCGAGGGTATCGCCCCCACCCCGCACCGTGGCGTTATCTTAGCACCCGGCCAAAAAACATATCCGTGTGACAGCCAGGTCGTGCTCGTCGTCGCCGAAGATACGAAGATACGAACGAAGATAAGAAGAATAAGACGCAGAAAAGAACGAATAATACGACTAATGAGCAGCATAATGCGACTGATTGTAAGAATACGGATAATAAACATCGTTTTCCTCATGATCCTCATGGAATCGAGGTACTCCGAACGAAGCAGCGACCCTCGCAGACTACGAATGAGGATACGACTAAAACGAACGAAGATACGAACGAAGACTAAGAAGAAATGTGAGGATGTCTCCGGGGATTTGCCCAATTCTATTAAGACATGTGAGGATGTCTCCAGCGATTTGGCCAATTCTAATAAGAAATGTGAGGGTGCTCAAGCGATTTTGACAATTCTGTTAAGCAATGTGAGGATGTCTCAAGCGATTTGGCTAATTCTGAGAAGAAATGCAAGGGTGTCTCAGGCGATTTGTGCCATTGTACTAAGATGTGTGGGGATGTTTCAAGCGATTTCCTCCTCTTCCTTCTCTACTCTTTGCTCTGATCCGCTTGTTTTTCCAATGAGGTTTCTATTGAAAATCCTTTAGAGAAATGCGTTTTTGTTCGGCCGTCGTAGGGGGTGGTCCACCCAAGGGTATCGCCCCGCACCCGCACCGTGGCGTTATCTTAGCACCTGGCAAAAAAACATATCCGTGCGACAGCCAGGTCGTGCTCGTCGTCGCCGTAATCGTCGGAAGACACCAATGGTAGATAGTTACTCCTGACAACCATGACATGGCTGAGAGGCCCAAGGAACAACTGATGTTTCAGGCGATTTGGCAAATTTTATTAAGAAATGCGAGGATGTCTCAGGCGAGTTTGCCAATTCTACTAAGAAATGCGAGGATGTCTTAGGCGACGTGGCCAATTCTACACAACATATAAGGCGCTACTGCTTCTTTCTGAGTGCCTGGACTCCTGCCAGGCCTGCTCAGGCGATAAGAAATATGAGGATGTCTCAGGCGATCTGGCCAAGTCTATTAAGAAATGTGAGGATGTCTCAGGCGATTTGGCCAATTCTATGAAGAAATGCGAGGATGTCTCAGGCGATGTGCTTCCTCCTCCTCCTCCTAGCCGCAGGTGCCGGAGTAACGCTTCCAGGTGCGGGGGGATATCGTTTCGCCGGAGGGGGGGGGATTCTTAATTGCTTCTTCGGGTTATATATATATATGTATATATATATATATCGGGGTGGTGTCTAAAATTCCCTGGGGGGGCCATCGTTATATATATATATATATATATATATATATATATATATATATATGTGTGTGTGTATACCGACGCCGTGCTGCCACAGGGCGCTTGGGAGCAACGATTCGCGACCGAATGTGGCCGCCATCTGCGCGCCTGACCACGTGGCAAGCACTTGCGCTTGGCGGGGGCAGGAAGTGGCACCCCTGTCGGGGCGGTCGCGCGCAGGATGTGTTCCTTTCCTGTGGCCGCCTGGTGGTGGTGCATCTATTTCAGGAGGGAAAACGCACAGACACAACTGATCGTAGATTCCCCAGAAAGCATGGTACATGTGGGAAGTGTGGGGGGGGAAGACAACAAAAACCAGAGCAGATATGAAGATATGGGGAATCCTGTTCTTCGCGTGTGCAGGCGGCCCGGAGTAGGAGGTCGACCCTGCCAGATCAAGGGTACTTTTGTATCCTGTGTCTCGCGGCCCATGCTTCATACATTCCTGTGGCGATGTGGCCCTCGAAAGGGTCTTTTGTCCTCTCGCGTGTCCTGTCCAATGAGGTCCGACCGTATTTCTTTGTGTGTCCGTGGGCCCATGGTAATTCTGGGGCCCCGCAGCACGTGCGCAGGCGGGCGCCCCCCGCAGCAGAGGAGGGGAGGGCGGAGGCCGCGCCCGTGCTGCAGAGGCCGGCCGTGGTCCTCGGGTGTGCCTCCGCACCTGGGCCGGGCAGGAGCACCCCTGCCATGGCATCGCGACGGGGGCCCGGAGACTGTGTTTTTTGGGGGTCGGGCGATCGCCCGGGGTATCGGGCTTGCCCCCCCCCCCACCCCACCCCAGGATAACCCACCTTGCCGTTTGTGCAGGTCCGCGGGGGGGGGGGGGGCGCGAGCATATGCAGGGCTGCCCGCAGCGCGAGGGTTAGGTTATTGCCCGGTCCCCTGCTCCCCCCCCCCCCCCCCGGGATAAGCCGGGCTATCGCCGATTAAACAAACAACGGTCTCTTGGCTCGAGTGGCTTACGGTGGGGGCGTTGGTTAAGGAATGCGCTCAGGAGGCTGCGAACCCTGGAGGATTCGTTATCTGACGAGGGCGGCCGTGATATCCATGGCCAAGCCTCGATTGGAGTGCCACCCGCCTCCGGACCCTGGATTCCTGATCTAAGGGTTCCTTATCCAATGCCCCCACCGTACCCTAGGGGGAACGAACAATGAAATGCATACAAAAATATCGGAGGTCCGCGCGGATTTCTCGGATCGGCGCGGGTGCCCCCTGGCGCGCTCCGCGCGCCAGGGAGGGGGGGGGGGGGTCCAGCGCCGATCCGATAAATCCGCGCGGACCTCGCAGTTTTTATGCTTATGGCATTGTTCGTTCCCCTATAATTACCCGTCGGTCGCTGTAAGCAGGTAGTTCTGGACTCTCAGGTTCCAGTCTGCTTTGGCCGCCCTCCTGCTTCAAGGATCGCGCGGCGTTCCCCCCCTCCCTCCTCTTCAGGGGGCGGGTGGTGGCCCACTCTACTTCCGGCGCCTTCGGACCTCATGCTTCTACCCAGCTCTCACGACCGACGGGTACGCCAGGCCGCTGGCCCCCAGGCGAAGGAAGTGACGAGGCCTTTTGAAAGTGTCCTGGGGTGCTCTGCGGGGTTGCAGGATGGAGCCCAAGGATGCTGCACTTCGGGGCATCTCTCCCGAGCGCCCTGGGGCTTCGAGGGGGCCTCGTGGGCCTCTTCGGGGCGCTCTGGTGTTTCTTGGCGCCCCCGTCTTGGGGCCTTTCCGCGGGGCTCTTGGGGCTCCGTCCCCTCGCCGGGCGGGAGCACCTTGCCAGGGCATCGCGAGAGGGGATGGACTAAGGTCCAGGCGGGGGCACAATTCTGCGGCGCGCCGAGGGGTGAAGTTCGACGTCTCCTGAAGTTTGCCTCGGTGCTCACCGATTCTCCAGCCTCTGGATCCGCGCGTCCGCCGGAGAGCCGAGCTGTGCACGACCAAGAGAAACGACCAGGCGTCCCAGACGGGGCAGGCCCTCTCAGAAGGCGGCGGATCTTCTCGGAAGTCCTCCGGCCTTCTGGAAAAAAGCCCCTGCGGCCTCGGAGGAGGCTCAGAGAGCAGGTCCGGTGAGCCCACTGAGCGGGCCCGGCCCCTCTGCTTCCCCCCCGGGCGCGCCGCCGAAGGGTGGCGAGCGCTGGGGCTTCACCGGCCCTCGTGTGCTCGGAGGGGACGCGTCGGACTTGTCTTCTGAATCGGGGGTGGGCAGAATCCCCAACAGTGACACGTCGATTAGTGAGTTGTCCGTTCTCGGTTCTCGAGAGGGCGCCGCGGCCGTTATTTGCCAGGCTCGCGCCCGCCAGGTTTGGGCCTCAGGTCGTTTTCATTGAACCTCGTTTTACTCAAGGGGGGTCTGTCCATCCCCGACTGAAGGGAACTTCCGCGATCCCCTTCGGGTTGCACGTAATTGGGGTTAGGCCGGGCATGTGCGTGCACTGGGGGAATATTCAAAAATAGTCCAGAAATAGTACCTAGGGGGGCGATGCTTCTATCATTGTTTGACTATGTTTGATTCTTTTGTTTGGCAATTGCTTCACTCCTCGTCCAACATCCGCCTGCAGGAGGACATGCCCGACCTAAAGCTAGGGTCAGCGTCGTCGTCATAACTGACCGCGCTGGCGGCGATTCGGGATGCCGTCGTCATCCATGTTCCTGTTGCAAAGAGGTGGGCCGTGGGGCCGCTTCCATCCCCCGCGCGTCGCCGAGAGCCCTCGGGCTGCACGCACGTCGCTGCAGGCGGCCTCCAGGGTCCAGGCTGAACCCGCCCATCCCGGTCTGGTGGCGCGCAGGGGGGGGGGAGATCGGCTTAGAAGACAAGACGAGGGGGCGTCTTAGAAGGTTTCAAAAGGCGAGGGGGCGTCTCAGCGGGACGAGGAGACGAGGGGGCGTCTTAGAAGGCGAGGGGGCGTCTTGAGAGGAGAGCGACCTGCTTAGAAGACGGGGGGGCGTCTTAGAAGGAGTCGTGGTCTTCCGAGGTGGCGCATCAGAGGGCAGGAGGGCATCCAGGAAGCCCCCCCCCCTGGCCTTATGAGAAGGTCGCCCCGCCTTGGCCCTGTCCCCCGCCTGCCCGCCGTGGACATTCGCTCCGTCTGGCCCCCCTTCCCCCTGCGCTTCCCTCTGCCCCTCCGTGGCTCTCCCCTCGTCATCCTCTTCCTCACTCTCGCCCCTCCTCCTCGCATTCCCTCCACCGGCCCTCGTGTGCTCGGAGGGGACGCGTCGGACTTGTCTTCTGAATCGGGGGTGGGCAGAATCCCCAACAGTGACACGTCGATTAGTGAGTTGTCCGTTCTCGGTTCTCGAGAGGGCGCCGTGGCCGTTATTTGCAAGGCTCGCGCCCGCCAGGTTTGGGCCTCAGGTCGTTTTCATTGAACCGCGTTTTACTCAAGGGGGGTCTGTCCATCCCCGACTGAAGGGAACTTCTGCGATCCCCTTCGGGTTGCACGTAATTGGGGTTAGGCCGGGCATGTCCGTGCACTCCTCCACCGTCCTCCCTCCTCCTGCAGGTGTCTCCCAGGCGTCACAGTTGGCTCCCTCCTTACCCGATCCGTCATCAGCCATCCCTCGGCTCAGGCTGCCGAGGGCTGGTGTTTTTCCCGCCCGCACACCGCCCGTCGCAGCGAGGGTGGTGAGGCAGTCACGCAACTGCGCCAATGGAAAACAGAGACCGGGTCTGGGACGTGTGAGGCTGGGGACCAACCTTTGTTCTCCCTCCGCCCGGACCCCCGTGCCTTCCCCTTGAGAACCTCAGGCTTCCGTGAAAACGCGGGGGGGGGGCCTGGGACGACTCTGGGTGAGTGTCTGCGGCCGTGGTGTGGTGGAGGATGCTACGAGCATGGCTTGTCCGCTCTTCGCCCTCCCGTCCCCAGTGTAAAGTCGGGCCTGTCCCTCCACAGGGGGGATATTCAAACATAGTCAGCAAATAGTCTGGGGACGATTTTTGAACCATTTTTCAATATTTTGGGGGTATTCTTTGTCTATGTTTAATTATTCGTCCGAAATCGGCCTATAGGGGGACAGGCCCGACCTGACCCCAGGTGCTCGTCACCCTGAGCGCGAGGAGCAGGCAGCGGCTAAGGGGCTCCGCACAGCGGCGCGCGCCAGCAGCGTCGCGCTCGCCGCGTGCGCCGGTTGCAGCGACGGCAGGCTATCTCGCGCCTTCTCTCTCTCTCTCTCTCTCTCCTTTTTTTCGCTCCATCTCTCTCTCTCTCTCTGTTTCTCCATCTCGTCGCAGTGGCGCACGCCAGGTGCGACAGCCAGCAGTTCACTGGCCCGCCGCCCGCCGCCGGCGTGCGCCGCGTGCTCGCGGCAAGCAGGTCACGATCCGGCCCTGCCCCAGAGGGCAGACTCGTGGGCAGTCTGGTCGGGGGGGAAGGGCGGACGCGAGCACGCGTGGGGCTCCTCCACGAGCGTGGGGGAGGGGTACCCCCCCCCCGACGGGGGTCCGCCTCGCCGCGGCGTCGCGCCGCGACGGGGGGGGGGTCGGAGCGCCTGCGGCGCGCGGCGTGGCTGCCCGCGTCGGGGGGGTCGGCGTGGGGCCGTCGGCGGGGGCGACGCCCCCTCCCAGCGCCTCTCTAGAAGCTCGGCGTCAGTGGGGCGACGTCGGGCCTGTCCCCCCCCCACGGGCGGATTCGGGACGAAACATGTGTTTAAAAAAGTACCCCAGAAGGATGCAAAGAAGGCCTAAAGCATGCTGGAAAGATCGCCACTGGACTAGAAACTCGGAGGCTTCGGGGCTGTGTCGGGCACGTGCCCCCTGCGGGCGGATTCGCGACGACGAGTGTTTTAAAAAAGTACCCCCCGGCAGATGCAAAGAAGCCCCCCCCAAAAAAACATGCCAGAAAACTCGCCACCGGACCAGAGGCTCGGGGCACGGTCAGGGCGGTGAGCTCGGGGCCACTCTTGGGCTCCCGGTCCTGTCCTGTGGGGGGAGGGAGGAGGGAGGAGGGAGGAGGGAGGAGGGAGGAGGGAGGAGGGAGGAGGAGGAGGGAGGAGGGAGGAGGGAGGAGGAGAGGAGGAGGAGGAGGAGGAGGAGGAGGCCACTCCTGGGCTCCCGGTCCTGTCCCTGTTGAGGGGGGGGGGCCGCTCCTGCGGTCTTCGCTCCGGGGCGAGAGCCCCTCCGTGGCCGAGGCCCTCGCCGCGGCCAGGGGAGGGAGGGCGCCATCGCTGCCCTCGCTCGGCGCTTCCTCTGAGTCGGGCCTGCCCCTCGACAGGAGGAGTGTTCAAGAACAGTAAAAAAATTGTCGGGGGACGATATTTTGCTTATTGTTGGACCATGTTTAAAGCATGTTCGACTACTTTTCATTTCTCCTCGGAAGTAGGCCTGTAGGGGGACAGGCCCGACCTAGCGCTTCCTCCTGGGAGCACGGCGCCTGCTCGCAGCAGCAGGGGCTGCCGTGGTGGGCGGGCTGTCGGGCCGAGCGCGCACTTTCTCTTTACGAGCGCAGACGGAGCCCCGTGGCACGAGACGGCAGACGAACGACGGACGAACGACGGGGACGACGGATGAGGCGCAGGGGGCGAGGGAAGGAGCAGGGGAAGGGGGGGGGGAAGGCCTCCTCCTCCTCCTCCTCCTCCTCCTCCTCCTCCTCCTCCTCCTCCTCCTCCTCGCGCGGGGGAGCGCCAGCGCCCGGCGCGGCGGCTCCTGGTTGGACGAGATGCCCCGCGGGGCCCCGCACGGACGCCCCTTCTCCCGCCCTGGGCGTCGCGCAGTGGGGGGCCCATAAAGGGGGGGGGGGCGAGGGTGGTCCGAAAAGGCACCCAGGCGGTACCCAAACGAGCCCCCACGGGGCTCCGGAGGGGCCCGACAGGGGCAGGAGAAAGGGGACCGCTTCTGACCCCCAGCTATGGCCCCCCCATGAAGCCACGCCCAACCGTCTGGTGCTGCTGTCGAGCGCACCGCAGGGAAGCGGCAGGGGTTGCCCCAGAGCGGGCAGAAGAAGACTCAGACATTGTCTCCTGCCTGGGCGGAGGATGAGCAGGAGCAGGGGGTGCATGCGGAGGGGGACCAGGAAATGGGAGGCAGCTGGGGGGGGGACGAGGGCAAGGGGCCATGGTGAGCGAGAGGGGGGGAAGGCACAGAGGAGGAGAGCGGGAGGGGACGAGGAGGGAGCTCTTGATACCGGTGCAGTTGCAGTCCGCGATCTCCTTCTGCTGTGCGCAAGAGATGGGGTTGCGAGGGGGATCACGACAACGACAACGATCACAACGATCACAACGATAACGATTGTGGTCGCTGTGATCGTTGTCGTGGTGATGGTTCTTATCGTTGTCGTTGTCATCGTTGTTATCGTTGTCGTGGATTCCCGGGATGCCTCCAGATATGTATCTAAGGCGGTATTCAAAGCCCGCAGCCGCACCGCCTGGCCCCCGCTGGCGCCCAGGATTCCGTGGGATCTCTGCGGAGGTTCCCCGATTCTTCTTTTCCTCCTCCTCCTCCTCCTCCTCCTCCTCCTCCTCCTCCCTCCTCCCTCCCCTCCTCCTCCTCCTCCTCCTCCTCCTGATCCTCCTCCTCCTCCTCCTCCTCCTCCTCCTCCTCCTCCTCCTCCTCCTCCTCCTCCTCCTCCTCCTCCTGTCCTGAGGCTCAGGCGCCCCGCGCCTCGCCATCACTAGCGCTCCTTGAGGGTCGCGGGCTGGAGCAAAACCACCTCCGCGTCCGCGGCCTCGCGGGCCGGAGCCCTCGTGCCGCGCCGCCGCGGGTGCGCGGCGTGCGTCTTGTTTTTTCTCGCGGGTGCCCTGCGCGCGCGCAGCGCGTCCGTACGATCACCTGCCCGAGGGACCGCGCCCCTGGAACTGTCAAGGAGCGGTTCAGGGTGACAAGAGATTGGTTTTTGAAGGTCGGGCGATGGCCCGGGTGATCGGGCCGCCCCCCCCCCCTCCCCCCCCCACCCCCGAGGGACCACGCCCCTGGAGTTGTCAAAGAACTGTCGGGGGCGGCAGAGGGGGGTGATGACCAGGGGGGGGTGGCTATCACGGCGGGGGCCATGATACTTCCCCAGATTCTATGGCGCCTCGTCTTATCTCATCACGTCTCTTCTTGTTTCATTGCGTCCCTGCCCCCCCCCGCTGGACCTGCCCCCCCCCTCTTGGACACCCCCCCTCTTGGACACCCCTCCTGCCGGTCATGATTTGCCCCCCCCCTCTTGGACACCCCCCTCTTGGCCGCTCCCGGAACTGCTCAGGGTGACAGGAGATGTTTTTTTAAGGGTCGGGCGGGCGATGCCGAGGTTATCGGGCCTGCCCCCCCTCCCCCCCCCCCTCCCCCCCCCCCCCAGGATAACCGAACCTTGCCGGCTGCGCAGCTCCGCGGGAGGAGGGGGCGCGGGCATGTGCAGGGCTGCCCACAGCGCGAGGGTCAGGTTATCGGCCCGCCCCCTCCTCCTCCTCCTCCTCCTCTCCTCCTCCTCCTCCCCTCTCCTCCTCCTCCTCTCCTCCTCCTCCTCCTCCTCCCCCCCCTCCCCCCCCCCCGGGATAACCCCGGTTATCGCCGATTCAAAAGGAACGGTCTCTACCCGAGGGACCGCGCCCCATGGAATTGGCAAGTAACTGCTCAGGATGACAAGTTGGCCCTGGGGGACAGCCCCGCTCGGATGCAGGTCCCGATTCCCGAGGGACCGCGCCTTCTGGAATTGGCAAGTAATGGGCACGGAAAGAATGGGTACGATGCCCAACAGCAGTTCCTGTTCATTTTGAACAGGATTCGCTGTTTGCGCCGCCGCGGCCCGTGTCCATTTGAGACAGAAGGCCGCCTGCCCAACAGCGGCCGCTGTCGGTTTGGGGCAGTATTTGTTGTTGGGCATTGTGCCCATGTTTTCCGTACCCATTTCGGGCGTCCCAATCTTCTACTGAAGCCAAGAGGAGGGCGTGCTTGTCGTTTGGAGTCGTGTTCATAGGGAGCAAACACACTGTTTTTTCATATTTGCCATGCGCCCGTTGCGAAGGGCCTCCCTTCCCTCCCAGACTCCTAGCACGGCCGCCGTCAGCCTGGATCGGCTGGAGCGACGATCCACACGCCAAAAGCCTTTTCGGGCCTTCTCACGTCTACTTTACCAGGCAACGATGAATCACGTCTCGGCACTGACTCTATGAGGCCTTCCAAGGAGGGCCTTGCCGTCGAGGATCGCAGGAGTTGTCATGTCTTTTCCTCGGCGGAATGCGGCGGAAGGTCGGAGGCGCGGCGGAAGGTGGCGGAAGTAAACATTGTGCCCCCAAGAGGTGCCAACTTTTGTGGGCCCATGGTCTCCGGGATCCGCCATGCACAGGACGAGAAGGCCCGAGCTCCTCGCGGGAACCTGGCGCCGGCATCGCCGCAGCGCCCCCACCCCGCTGGATCGGAGGGCACCAAGTATACACCAACACCGATCTTGGCCCAGGACCACCCTGGGCCCAGGATCGGTGTACGTGCCTTCGCTCCCAAGGCAGGAGGGCGTATGCGCGTATAGTTGGTGCATCCCCCCTGGAGAGGCCAACGATGAGGGTCACAAAAAGTGGCATAACATAAAAACTCGGAGGTCCGCGCGGATTTCTCGGATCCGCGCTGGACCCCCCTTGCGGCGCCTCCGGCGCCGCCCCTGGCGCGCTCCGCGCGCCAGGGAGGGGGGTCCAGCGCCGATCCGAGAAATCCGCGCGGACCTCTGAGTCTTTATGTTTATGCCACTTTTTGTTCCCCTATGGAGAGGCCAACGATGGCGAGAAACCGATGCGACCTTCGCCCGCGATCGGCGGCGCTTTCTGGAGGGGGGCAGCGAGAGGGAATTGGCAACACCCACGCTCTGGCGATGATGTTTTTGCTCGGCCAAGACTCTGCAACCTTGGCTGTATCCTTGCTTGCTCAGCGAGTTCGAGCAAAACACTATTATACAGAGATGCCTTGCCGACTGTCGACGCTTTGGCTTAATGCCGAGAAGACAGTGCTGGCTTGATGCGACCTTCACCCGCGATCGGCGGAGCTTTCCGAGAGGGGGGGCAGCGGGAGGGGGGGCCGGCCTCCTCGCAGGGCCGCGGGGCCTCGCGGAGGTGCCCCATGCGGCCCTCTGGGGAGCCCCCTTTGCAGGCTCGGATCCCGTCGGGCAGGTCCCTCTGCAGGAGAGGCACTCAAACATAGTCAAAAACAGGCTGGGGACGGTGTCCTCACGGTGTTTTTCATATTTGAGTTTTTTATGTTTGGTTTGTCTTTCGTCCCAAATCCGCCTGTATGGGGGACGTGCCCGACCGAGGGTTCGCAGGCAGCTCAGGCAGCCTCGGGGGCCTCCAGAGCCTTCTGAGAAAGCCCGCGCCCTCTGCCTTCCCCCTGGGCGCGCCGCCAACTGCGATCCGGTCGATCCCATTCGACATCGATTTCTGCTGGCCCCATCCGATTCGAC